CAGGGGAGGGGCAGAGAGGGAGGGAGACACAGAATCTGAAGCAGCTCCAGGCTCCGAGCTGTCAGCCCAGAGCCTGACGCGGGGCTCAAACCCACGAACCGTGAGATCATGACCTGAGCCAAAGTCGGATGCTTAACCGACTGAGCCACCCAGGCGCCCCTAGAGAGATGATTCTTAACTCTTTCCACCGCACAGGAGTCCTGATACAGCACCTCTCTGAGCCTCAGTTTCCCCACCCATAAAATGCACTCGACCAGAGTCCCCGCCTGGAGATCAGAAGCCTGTGCCTGAGCAGAATGAGTGTCCTTCCTGTAGGTGGCCGCTGTCATCAGTGCCTGCAAGGTCACAGAGCGAGAAATCACACCCAGGGAGCAAAGGCGAGCAGAGGCTGTGTGGCCCCCGCCAGAGGCAGCCCCCCCCCCCCCCCACCGCAAGAGGCCTGAGTGACCAGTGCCGTCCCCTTGCCCCCCGCAAGCTTCTTCTCCTCCCTCGCCTTCCCCCTCAAGGGCCCAGCCTGTGCCTGCCGGGCCCCCAGTCCCAGACACTCACCCGGGGAAAGCTGGGGACGGGGAAGCCTGTCTGAGACACCACGGCCTCCCAGGGCACCAGGGGCTGCTGCTCAGGCTGGCGCCTTGCTGGGGAACCGCGGACTCCCCACTCCCCCTGGGGATCCACCAGCCTCTGGAGAAATGGCCCTCCGTCGCTGCTGGTTAACGAGGCGCGATCGCCAAAGAAGAGTGAAAAGGGTTATTATGTGGGTGGACTTTCCAGAGGCTGTTTCCCTTGTGAGGCGTCCAGGTGTTGCTGTCTGGGGCGTGTGAGACTCTGGGTGACCGGCGGGCACTCCAGCCCCTTCTGGGGGCTGTGTCTGGGCTCCCGGCCCCGCCTGGCCCCTCCCAGACTCTGGCCTTGGACGCGCTTTCTTTCCATGGAGCCTGGAAAATCTCTCCGGGGCCTGCCCCTTGCTCGCAGAGTGGTATGTGATTCTGGGGAGAGGAACGAACCCCTGGGCCACACAGGCCACCGTGGATGAGTGTGGGGGCGTGTCTGCACTGCTCACACAGTGCACGGGGCCCTAGAGTGAGGGCGAAGGGTCCCCAGGACGCCCACTGGGCTGTCACCCATGCCCCCAGGGAGGCCACCTGGCCTCCCACTGCCTCTTCTCCAAGCCAGCTTCTCCAGGAAAGGAGAGGGCCGTCCCCGCTCCTCACTGTGCACCCCCAGCATGGTCCAGGCCCCTGGACTCCACCTGCCGGGACTTGACAACGGCCTTTGTTTCTCCAAACCCAAAGTACCCCCCGCCCCGACCCAGCAGGGTGAGCCGGCCTCCACTGCTTGGCAGAGGGAAGGTCTGAGCTTCAGGCCCTTCTCTGCCCTCACACGAAGTCTGCCTCCCGCCCTCTGGGGCCCTTGGGACCTCACTCTGGCCTTTCCACTTTCTGGAAAAGGTCAGATTTGTCTTCAAGTGACCACCATGCAAACGGTCTGGATGAGTCACCCCAAACCGGAGTCATCTGCTGCGAACCGTTCTATTTTAATTCCTTTTCTTCGTGGAGGTGAGATCTGCCGTTTTCAAGTGAGTGGTGCTGTGGCAGTTGGTACTTTCACAGTGTCTGTGGCCATCGGGTCCATCAGGTTCCGGGACGTTTTCATCCCCCCTAAATAAGACTTCGCCCCCATCCTCAGTCACCTGCCCACCCCTCCCCACCCGCGGCAGCTGGAAATCTGCTCTCTGTCTGCAGTCGCACACCGTGTGGCCTTTGGGGACTGGCCTCTGTCACCGAGCACGGTGTTGTCAAGGTGTATCCAGGCTCTCCCACGCCTGAGGTCCAGGTGACAGCGCCTCGCCCTATTCTGAGTGCGTGTGGCCAAGCCCCGTCCCTCTGTGTGGATGGGCCACACGCCTTCACCCCCCAGCCTGACCTCCGTCACCCTGCTCTCCCAGGACCACGCACGAGCGAGCCCGCGCCAGCCTCCACGCTTGGCCCCGGCCCACACGTGGCCACCTCACACCCGGCCGTCGATCTCGTAGTGGTTCGTCCTGGAGGCATCGCCGGGCAGCCACGGCGGGGGTGATATCTGAGGACTGTGTGTATTTTACTAATTTTTTATTTATTTATTTTTTTTAACGTTTATTTATTTTTGGGACAGAGAGAGACAGAGCGTGAACGGGGGAGGGGCAGAGAGAGAGGGAGACCCAGAACCGGAAGCAGGCTCCAGGCTCCGAGCCATCAGCCCAGAGCCCGACGCGGGGCTCGAACTCACGGACCGCGAGATCGTGACCTGAGCTGAAGTCGGACGCCCAACCGACTGAGCCACCCAGACGCCCCTATTTTACTAATTTTTAACAGCCCAGGTGTGGGGTGTCACAGGGTCCTGGGGAATCTGTCCAGGGACCCTGATTTCCCATCCAGGGAGGTTGGTCCACATCTGTTGTCCTTCCCTTTGATGGGCACCGTCCCCCCTCGTCCCCCGTCACTCCAGAAGCTGGCTGAGCCAGGTGCGAAGGGGCCGTCTGTGTCCCCTCACCGAATTCGTCCAGGGCCCCGCGTGCGGGTGACGCACGGCCACCGGCCAGTGGCACGGAGAGGTGCGCCCAAGGCTTCGTGGAGGTGGGCAGGGCCAGGGAGGCCGTGCCCCCGGCCGGCTCCAGGGCCCAAGCCCGGTCTCTGCGTCCCCTCCCCCGCCACCCCTCACTCCACTTGAAGCTGATGTTTCTGCCGGTATTCCAGGGAAAATCAAATCCTCCCGGGTAGAAACGGCATCTGTCCAAGTGAGTTTTCTGAGTCTGCTTTGACACACTTTGGGAAGCTCCGGGACAGAAAATATGGTTTTGATTTCGTGGAGCAGGCGCAGACCCCCGAAACCTGGCCCACGTGGTCCGAGAGCTGGTCTCTCAGATTCTCCCCCAGACACGGCGCGTCGCGGAGCGCGGCCCAGAGAGAGCTGAGCGGGAGCGTGCTGACAAGGGGCCTCTCTCCAGGGCCTGGAGCTCCTGTCGGAGGGCGCTGCCCGCTCTGGTCCCGGCCTCGGAGAGAGTCAGCCCTCTGAACATGCACAGGCACTTGTCAAGGTCACGAGAAACTTGGGTGGGGTGGGGTGGGCACCCCGGCCAGTACAGCTCCCTTCTCTCAAACCCCACAGCCTGGCAGCAGGCTGGGCCTGGGACTGCCCGTGAGAGGGGGCGCTCCCTGGGTAAGAAGGCTTCCAGGGAGGAACAGGGATGGAGGTGAGGCCCTCATGAGCACCTGGGCTCGTTTCTTGTCTGGCCCGAGGTCAGAGGTGTGGGTCATGCCCACCCGCGGTTGGGGGTCCCAAGCCCACCGGCAGGGAGAGTCTGGCCGTGGTGAGAGGTCACCTGCCGGTGGGAGGCTCCTGCTGACCGTCCCAGGCTGGGCTCTCGGAAGCTTGGGGCAGCACACGTGGGGAGGCCCACCAGCCTCCCAGCTCTGGGGGTGTGGGGAAAAGGCCCTCCTGGAGGTCCCTGGACGTCTACTCAGCTCCCTGGACCCCACGTTGGCAGACGACAACTTGAGAGGCCTCACCAGTCTCTGAAGCCTTGTGACCCAGGAGACCCCGGCTCCCCAGCGGCAGAACAGGAGGGACCCCTGCCCAGGCCCGGGATCGGGGAGATACCACGTGCTCAGCTTGGGGAGTGAGGCCCCCCCCATCCCTCTGTTTGCTTGAAGCCCCTCGGCTGCTCACAGCTGCTGATGGGCAGCTCCATGCGCCTGGCAAGAGGCGCTGGGGTCAGCAGGAACAAGAACGAACCCGCTGCTGCTCTCGTGAGACTTGGCGATGTGCAGGTGGGGCGACCGGGCCCCATGTGGTCCCACCTGTTGTGGTGATCGCCGACAGAGACCTGAGCTGCAGAGGAAATAACCCGATGGGTTCGTCGTTTGGGGCAGTCGAGGAAGGCTTCTCGAAGGAGGTGGCAAGTGAGCTGAGGATGAGAGGTGCTGGCCGGGGAGTGGCAGAGAAGCTGTGGACCCCCGGGCCCAAGGGGCAGGGTCTCCAGGCAATGGCTGGGTGCGTGGCGGGCCCACGGGGCACACGTGTCCTTCATTTCACGGGCATCTTCCGGGGGCCGCCCCGCCTCAGAGCGGGCCACCAGCACTCATCACTCTAGCTTGCCTGCCTTTGGCTGCAAGGGACAGCGTTTTAATCCCTCTCCTCCGGCTCTTCTGGGTCCAAGCCTCTCCTCACTCAAGCGGACCCCCTGGCCGCCCGCCCTGCACCTCCTTCCCTGTTGGCGCCCTTACCCTCGAGGGCCCCAGACAGGCAGCACACGAGTGCCTGTTTCTCAGGTGGGTAAACTGAGTCTGTGCCTTCCCTGATGCACCCAGCCGGGGGCAGCCAGCAGGGACCACGGAAGCTGCTTCTAGCTGGGGCCCTTCCATCCCTCTGACCCGGCGTCCAGGAGCGGCAGGATGCATCTTGCAAACCCGAGCTTCAGAAACTCGAAATCAAGGAGGATCTGGCTGGGGACTCTTGGGGGCTCCGTGGGCTGTTTTGTAACGACAGAGGGAGCGCCTCGCCCACACTCCGGATCTGCCGCGCCCGCTGCCGCCCACGGACCCTGCGGAATTAGCTCACAAATGGGAGGAACAGGTGACGGGCGCCTGCTCTGGGGACGTCAGCCCTCCCAACTCACACCCGAGGTGTGTGAAGCAGGAGGCGGGGGCGAGGGCCCCGAGACCCCATTGCAAATTAAGATGTACTTTGTCTCCTTTCCAAAGGCACCGAGCTGGCTGCGTCCCCGCTTTGCAAGAAAATGACTTCCCTGCCAGATGGGAGCAGGACGCCCACCTCCCCGCAGCTCCGGCGACAGAGCCCGCAGGATCCCACACGGCATGCATTCCTGAAGCGGTGAGAGCCCCCCTCAGCCTCGGCTGCCTGCAGCAGCGGGCCTGTGACATCCATTTCCCTGGGCGGGCAGGCGGGGCTGGGGCTGGGCCTGGGGCTGGGGAAGGAAATACTCCCGCCAGCGCTTCCTGCTCAGGTCGCCTGGCGTCCCTGCAGCTCCCGCGGGGCCAGGCGATCACGGTGGCAGGGGCTGGGCCAGTCGTGGTGTTCAGCAACTCACCCCCCCAACCCGCCCCCTGCACCCTAAGGGGGCCTGCGGGCCCTTCCTGGCCTCGGGGCTGCCCTGGGCGTCCCAGTGTGCCCACTGCCCTCCCAGGGGGTCCAGCAGGAGTCCAGAGCCTCAGGTCCAGTCAACCTCAGGAACAGCCAAGAATGCTTCCTCTGTGGGCACGGCCAGTGTGCTCTTGCGGGCTGGCCACTGGCGGATGGGACCACTGGGGAGACAGAGCCCAGGAGGAAGTTCCCTTCCGATCGGCGGACACGGCAAGGGTCCCTTCTCCTTCCCAGAGAGAGCCAGACCCTGCGCCGTGCAGAGGGCGGACAGGTGTGGGGCGCCCCGGTTACTGCAGCAGAGCCCCCAGCCCATCTCGCCGCCCGGGGCCTTGCCCTGCCCTGTCCTCTTCCCAGGGCTCGGCCTGGGGTCTCAGCCAGCAGGGGCACTGTGGGGAAAGCACAGACCTGTCAGGCCGTGTCCCCTCATGTATTAAATAGGGCAAAGACTGGCGCCAGCCCAGCAAGCCTCCGAGCCCTTGCTGAGAGCACGGCGGCTGGGCAGGGGCCCGGCCGGAAGCCCTCCGCGCTCGGCTCGGCACCGAGGTCAGCCCGTCCCCAGCTCCCTGCACACCTGTCTGCCCCCAGCCCAGATGCTGGGGTGCTCATGGCCTCCTGAGGAGTGGATGACTTTCCAGCTCCTGGAGGATCTGGGGGCAGCCGTGAGTGGGTCCGTCTCCCTGTCCCCTCCTCCCCCTCAGGGGACGACAAGTGCTCCCAGTGCCCCAATAATTAACAAAAGGCCATCGTCGCTGCCGTGCACCTGCTTCAGGACGTTTTCTTCCCATGTGCTGAATAGAGAGGAACATTCCAGAATGTGGAACTTGGGGCACCTGGACCTCGAGTCTGTGGACAGACATTCTAGGGACGTAGCTTTCCACGTGGCAGATGCACATAACTCTGGACCGATTCGGGGAGAAATCTCCCAGAAGTGTTTTTCTCACTGCCCTGCCTTAAAAAACAAAATCAAAACCCAAACAAAACTTTACGACTTCCCATAAACGGAGTCTCGAAACGTCCTGTGTCTACGGGAGGCTCCACGTTGCCTCCACTCTCCTCACTGCTGAGTCGGATCCCGATGCGTGAAAGGTCATGGTTCGTCGATTTCACTTGAAGGGCAGTCTACAAGGAACATTCCAGTTCTGCCCATTTTGGATGAGCGTATACACGCCCGGGAGGAACCTGCAGCTTATAGGCCACCTGAGTGCCAGCCCGTTTGGAAACTGCCCTGAAGGGCGAGGCCCATGTCCTCTGCAGAGCTCCACACTCTCCCTCCCCCCTCTCAGCTTTGGCGACCCTAGCAGGTACCGCACCTTGTGCGGGAGAGTTTGACAAACACCTCAGCTGCTTCTTGGTACCTGAAGGTCACGTTCGTCAGCGTTAGCCACTGCCGCCTGACGGGGACGTCATAACCCCGAGCTTCCTGCCACGCGGCTGCTCTGCCCGCCTCTGTCTGTGTGGTTCTAGTTCTTTGAGAGGAGCGGCACTGGACCCCATCTGAAGCACGCACACCGTGGCGGCACCTTCGTGCGCTCACGGGTTTGCTCATCCAGCAAACACTCACCGAGAGCCTGGCTGTGTCCAGGATGGCCCAGGTCATGGATGCAAGTTAGGTCCAGCCACGGCCCTGACTTGGGGGGCACGCTGCCCATGTGGGGCTGGGGTTGCCCTCCACTCGCTCCCCACCCACAGCACAGACAGGCGCGAACCGTGTGGAACGTTCCACACCCGTTTACCAGGTGACTACCATTCCGGCTCTCTGTGACTGCCGGGGCCAGAACTGGAAATGCCCGGGCAAATTTTGTGTCAGTTGGGCACACTGCTCGCCAAGCCCTGGGACCCAGAGCTGTGAGGGGCTGCACCTGGGTCCAAGCCCACCATCTCTGCCTGCCTGGCGCATGGCTCAGACCTGCCCTCGCGGCCCCTCGGTGCTGCCGCTCGCTCAGGACCAGAGAGAAAGGAACTGGCCCCAGGGGTCCAGATGGATCCTGGGGGCTGAATGAAGAGCGAAGGATGATGCTGTTTGCCAGGACCGACACTGGATGAGGGCCGAGGTCACAGGTCGCTGCTCAAGGACAAGCCTCTATGGGAACATCTCACGAGATGCAGCTTCCACAGGAAGCCTCCCTGGCAGCCCGCAGAGCAGGCTGGGTCCCTGTATGGATTCCCAGTCTCTGCACTTGTCCTATGTGACCCTTTATTGCTCTCCGGGTCAGTCTCCCTCTCCTCTGAACCCTGTACCTGCTGTATGATGATCACTGGATGGATGAAAGGATGGATGGACAGATGGATGGACGGATGGAAGGACAGATAGAGCTGGTTGTCATGGCCGGCAGGCCAACTCCCTGCGGAAGTGTGAGCCCTATCGGTTTAGCTCAACATCAATGTTGGGTGCTGTGCTACATACACCCGTGTGCATCCCCTGTCTCCCTGAGCACCGTTTCTGGGGAGGTGGGCGTTCTTCTTCTCATTTTACAGATGGACCACGGAGGCCGGAGAGGCCAGTAACCTGCCCAAAGCTGAGCATCCCGGGAAGCCCAAGCTCCAGGCATCAGGCAGCGTGCGTCAGGGTAAACTTTGGCTCTGCCTTGACCCTCTGTCCCTGTTGGGAAAAAGTGGGAGACTTGGGAGTCACCCAGGCCCTCTGGCCACCTTCATCTCTCCCCCATTAGTGAATGAGTTCCTCAAAGGACTTGAGTGGCCTCAGGAAGTGGGTAGGAGGGGGGGCTCCCCTCTTCAGGGGTGATGCCCATGGCATCCTGGTCCACCCAGGCTCACTCACAGGTTTGAGAGGGGACATCAGGCAGTGAGTTGCAAAGACAGTGACAGTGCTTCCCAGTGGTGAAGACAGACACTTGTCACCTGGAAACCAGTGTGGCCTCTGCTCCATGCAGCCTGAGTTGGGATGCAGCCCCCTCCACCCAGAGACGCCCAGCACTTGCCCTCTGCTGCCCGAGAGGCTGTCCTCTGGTCTCAGCAGCCCAGGGACAGCACTGGGACCCAGCCTGGCCACCCAACCCTATGTTCAAGTCCTGGAACAAGGGACTCATCTGTCAGTCGGGCCCCTCCAGAATGTCGTGCGGGCCAGAGGAGAGGATGCGGGCACAGCCCTGCTGAAGGCACTCCAGGTGTCGCGGCCCCGTCCTTTCACATCCCGCACGGGAAGGGTTGCTGACCGACTCAGCGACAAACGTTGCTTTTTCTCTGACGTTCTCATCACCCCTGGGGCGAGGGAGACCTCTCCCCACCTGTCTGGGATTTCTACCCCCCACCCCCATCCATCCCGCGAGGACCCTGAGACCACAACCGAAGGGGGTCAGACGAGCTGCAAAGCAGCAGGAAACCAGGGAGGGGGCTCCGGCCGGTTTTCGAATCCAGCCCCCACCCCGTGGGCCAGGCGTTGTGGGCAGCGGGAGCCCCGATGAACTCCTACTTCACCGTTGCTCCTCCCTTGCCCTCCACCTGCTGAGGAACCCAGTTTTTCGGGGGGGGGGGGGAGAGCCGGATCTGTGGGTGGTACTTTTCTCCTGGTGACGTCTGAATAACCATGACAGCAGCTAAGTGTGCCTGAGCCTGGCTCCGGGAAGAGCTTCTTCTGGGTCTCCCCCTCTTTCCTCTCCCATTCCTCTCCTCCCCCCACCCCTGCCTTCTGCGTCTCTGGTCTCACAGTGTGGGGAGCACCCCCTGCCACCCTCCACCCCCGCCCCCCGAGCCAGGAAGTAGGGAGCAGAACACCCATCCCCAAGTCCCCGCGCATCCAAATATTTACTGCTGTGTCTGCCCACAAAAATTAATACGGCAGTTTTGTCGTAGGTTCCCACTGCCCGCTTCGCCTCTGGGGACTCGGGCCGGCCCGGCCCGCCCCGTGGGCCACAATGGCAGCGCCCACAACGCCCGCACAGGGGCCGGCTGGTCGCGCATACAAAGCACCCGGCCCGGCCATTATCATTCCGGAGCCGAAGTCCACCCCAGCCCGCACCTCATCGGTCATTCAGCAGCCCTTAATGACTTGTCAGTTCCTTGCCCTGCCATTTTCTGTCTAATTAATTCTTTTATTGTGCACCGGATAAAGAAAGACAAAGGCCTCCCCGGCAATAATGATTCATTAAAATGCAGCGCCTTCGCCCGCTGCTCTTGGCCGCGCACCAGCCCGGCTGCTCTGCCCGGCCCGCAGGCGCTACCGCCGCACTCCCACCGGGCCGCGCGCCCCTTAACCCTTTGCAGGGACCGGTGGGCCTGGCTACCCGGCCGGCCGGGCGTGTGGTCCCGCCTCGGCTTTGGGGTTGGGGGACCTGGTGAGGGGGGGGGGCTCCCGCAGCCGCCCAGGCTGTTCCTGCTCCCGTCCTGTCGGGGAGCCTCTCGGAAAGGCCTCGGGAAGTGTCCTGCACTTTCCCACGGCAGCCAGCCTCGGCGGGACTGAATTCTGGCCCCGGCCCCTCTGGGAAGGCTGGGGCTGGTGGGGCTGCTGGTGGGGGGGTGCACACGGGACCCCCCCACACACACAGGGCAGCCCAGCGTGGGTGGGGGAGGCAGGGGGGCTGCGCTCGGGGCAGCCAAGGCAACAGGTCACCGCGAGGGAAGGGAGCGAGGACCCCAGGGCTCCAGGGACAAGCCCGCCAGCAGGACGGGGCAGGGAGGGACCTGTCACGTGTCTGTGTGCTGGCCACGGCCATGCCAGCTTCATCCTCGGCCGTCACTGTCACATGGTCACGGGAGGAGGCACGTAGAGATCAGTGGCGAGTGGCAGAACCTCCAGCCGCTGGGTCACAGCCAGGTCCTGAGCTCACGGAGCACCCCCAAACACCGCCGGGCAGCCAGAAGCCCCCAGGCCAGCAGGGAACGCAGGAGACCGGGAAACCCTCAGGGCCCCGATCCCCACTCTTCCTGGGACAGAAATGGGCTGGGGGTGGGCAGTGCTGAGCTCGCAGCTCCGGGAGGACCCTCACCTGAAGGCAGATCCACGCCTCCCGTGTCTCCCCCTTTTGCTCCTTCCCTTCCCAACTTTTCTCCTCGGAAGGCTCCCGCGGCCCCCGGGGCGCCCCAGGGCCTCTACGGCCCCATCCTGGGAGGACTTGGTCTGCACATCTGCTCTCTCCAGGATGTAGGACCCCAAACGCAGGCACACTTTGGCCCAGAGGGAGACAGAGGAGCAGACACCGGGGTGGTTATACGCTGCCCTCCCTTGGGAATGGGTCCTTACCGAGTCCCGGGGGGCAGCAGCTCTGACCCCCAGCCTTGGGGTGTGCACCTGGGGTCTCCCTAGGGGTGGGAGGAGGGGATCTTACAGCACTGGCTCATGGTCAGCCCCAGTTTCCATGAAGCCTGGTGGAACGTATCCCAGACGGGTGTCCACACAGGGTGCTAAAGACTTGAGCGTCCAGTGGCCTGGAAACAAACCGGTTCAGCCCTGCCGTGTGGCCCACGGCTCCTGCAGCCCTGGTCAGCCAGAGACGAGGTCCATAAAGGTCCTCTGTCCAGGGCTGACCTGGAGGCCCTGGGCCAGACATTGGAGGGGGAAAGATCGGGGTCCATGCACCAGGCCACGACCCTGAGTCTCACACCTGCCCTGGGGTGCTGTCCCCTAAATGCGAAGCAGGCAGGGTGGGTGTGGAAACTGCCCCCCTCTGCCCTGGGCAGACCTGAGGAGGGGGGCCCCGGGTCTCCCCCAGGCAGCGGCTCAGAGACACAGGCCTCCCCGGAGCTGACAGCCACGCCGGCCGTGAACTCACATCCAAACAGAAAGTCTGCTCCTGAAAGCCGATCCGTCGTCCCAGGAAGAGCAATTATACGCGGAACCAGGAGGGGCTTTCCCAATCTATCAGAGCAGGGTCTGGGTCATAAACGCCCTTTCCCCTTTGTCTCTGAATAGGGCATTCTGTTCAGCTGAGGTCAGAGGCAACGCACTCAGCTCTGGGGAAGGAAATGAAAAATGAGGAACTTTTCCCGCCAGCTCGTCCCCAGGATGGGCCGACGGAGCGCGCTCAGTGGGAACTGGGCTCTGGACAAGCTTGGACTTGGGGCCCGGAGGGGTGAGGCCAGCCTTGTGAATGAACAGTGTTGTCTGGGGGGAGCTGGCTGGAAAAACCCTCACGAGCCTGCGGACCAGGGCAGTCCCAGGGACCCCTCCCAGCTGCCCTGACCCCCGGGGGTGTCCGCCTCACCACCTCCTCACAAGGCCACTGGGGACCCAGATTTGGGGGAGCCGGGGCCCCGTGACCCCCAGAATGCTTGGCTGTGGGCTCAGCCTCCAACGTCTGAGAGTGCTGTGGAGGGGAGGCCACCAGCCTGGCCCCCGGGGAGGGGTGGGGCGTCTGGAGAGGAGAGGACAGGTGGTGGCTGTCACCGTGAGCTCAGACGCAGGGAACCCCCAGGGAGGCTTGCCTGGGGCACAGGGGCCAAAAGGGCCCTCGCACCATCAGGTTGGTGGGAAGAGGGGCCGGGCCTCTGGGGAGTTAACACGCAGGAGCCCCTCTGAGTCCAAACAAACCTGGAGGGACCCCAGCCCTCGGGAACCCGGCAGGGCCCGAGTCAACCCCAGAGCGGCAACGGGGCGGCCTCACTCCCTCCATCAGGGAGCCGGCTGCAGGGGCTTTCCTTGGTTTGGGGTGTCCACGTGAGAGCCTGGAGGCCCATATGGACCCGGACGGCCCTTGGCTGGATGCAGGATGTGCTGGACTGGCTCCACAGGGGCATCCGCGAGCCTGGCTTGCAGCCCCCTCCCAGACCCCGCCTCGCCCCGGAGGCTTGGCACGCCCCAGACCTCACGAACCCTCGTAAATCCGGGCAGCTCTTCCCAAACGCTACTCTTGGCAGGCCCCGGACGTGGCTCTCCAGCGCGGGGTGAGGGACGCGCCCTGGATCGCAGCCACGCGGGCGGCTGGCAGACAAGGGGACGGCAAGGGCGCCCCCCTACCCGGACCACCCCGTTAAAATCACAGAGGGAGTTGCTTCAAGTAGCTGGCTTCTCGCGAGAAGTGTGAGCTTCCTCTCGGGCCTGGAGACGCCCCAGAAGCACCTGCAGGGCCTGGAGATGGGTGCCCCCAGCCTCACGCAGCCCCTGAACCAGCTGCGGGGAGGCCCGGCCAAGGGGTGAGGCTGCCCCCTTGCTTGCGGTTGCCCCCCACAACCATCCCTCCCTGCAGACACTCGGCCAACCAGACGGCCCTGCCTGGTTCTCGCAGGACAGCTTTCACCCAGCTCCCAGCTTGGCTCCGCGCCAGCGCCCGAAAGATGCCGCCAGCCACCCAGAAACCCGCTCTGGGATTCGCCTGGGAGGAAACCATGGCCCTGCCGAATCTGGACCCGCTTTGCCTACTGAATAGGCCCCTGGGGAAAGAAGACACTGGCGGCATGGCCGGCTTCCTGGGGCCTCTGAGATCCGTTCAAATCCAGACACAGCCCCTGCAGGGGGCGGGGGGGGGGGGGGAGCCTGGCTGTGCCCCAGGGTTGAAGCGTTGTCTCTGCCTTCCATGGGGCTCCGGATGCCCACATCCTCTGAGGAGGGCTCGGGATAGACTGCACTCCTACCTCCGCCAAGGCCCTCGAATCAGACCCCGTTCTCTCGGAGCCCCCGTCCGCCAGGCTTACGGAAAAGCAACACACAAAACGCAGCCTGAGTAGATAAAAAGCTTTTTTTTTTTTTTTTTTTAATTTTATCAAATTGGTCTGTACAAAAGTTAGCATTGCTTGGTCAGAAAGTAGCCGAACACAGCAGGTAAGTGACAGCGGAAGCCCAAACTCCACGCGGAACAACGGATTTTGCATAAAAATGAGTTTGCTGTAGTTCCCTGCCCCCACCCCCAGAAAGAGATATGCAAAACAAATTCTTTTTTTTTTTTCTAGAAAAAGGTAGGAAAAAGTAGAAAAAGTAAAAAGAAGCAACTTCTCGGATGTCTTCAAATGTACAAGGTTTTAAAGGCACAAGTTTCCATGAAGTAGGCGATTACCGTTGGTCGGCACGCAGCGGAAGCAGGTACGCGTCAATCGGGTATTATTCGTCTAAAGCTAAGACTCTAAACACTTAGTGGAGAAGGTTTTAGTTTCACAGCTTGTAGGTGGCGTCTGGGTCCTAAGAGCCGAGATTCATGTGCCTCTCCAGCCACCCCGTCCCCGGCTTGGCACCGTTGTGAGCAGGGGTGGAGCCCAGGGACACCCATGCCCTCTAAGCCTAGACCTCACACGGGTGCCACGGCACCCCCAACCCGGACACAGACACGACGACGAGGCGATCCCTTCTCCCCGCTCAGGGTCCCGGCCACCTCCCCGGGGCCTGGAGCCCCAGGGCCCCCACCCCACGCGTCCTCCTGGCCCTGGAGCTCAGCAACCCGGCCTCCGTTTTGTCTGAAATCCTACTTTCTGCACAAATTACTTAATTAAAGATAAAATAATACAGAACATAAATACGTTTCAACAGCTTCCAAAACAAATCGAACGTGTTTAAGCTTCAAAAACAAAACTTAAAAAATAAAATAAAATAAAACGAGGGAAGCGTTAGTCCCAGCCAAACCTGGCTGGGTAGAGCCTGCGTTGTGGGAGCCCCTCGGAGCTGACGGGCTGGTCCCGAGAGGTGCTCCCACAGACGCATTCTCGCCAGGCTGCGGATGCCGCTGGTCCCGTGGGCTCCCGGCGCGAGGCTGGCAGGGACCCCGGGAGACGGGCGGCCGGAGCCCCCGCGCCTCGTCCCTCCTTTTTGTTTTGTGCTGGGGCTGCCTCGGGTCCACTGAGATGCAAAACCAAGGGGCTGCTGTCTGCAGGGAAGAGGGCCCGACGGCCGTCCCCCGCGCAGTCACCAGTCACCGCCAAGAGCCAGCGACAAGGAAAAGAGGGCTTTGTTGGCCGAAGGGAGCGGGGAGATCTGGAAGCAACGGGGCGTCGGGCTCCGAGCGTGGCTGCCCGCAGACGTCAGCAGGCCCTTGCCTGGAGCCGCCGTCTCCTTTCCCTCTGCCTCTGCACCCCTTCCGGAAGACCCGAGGCTCTGTCTTTGCTGAGATAAAGGTTCTCCCTCTCCCACGCCAGTCTCCCCCGCGGGCCACGGCGCCCTCAGGGTCTGCTCAGGGTAGTATACACAGGCTGGTCCCAGTTGCCG